ATCAAAAAATTATTTCTTTGTTTACTTACTTTTGGCCCACCCTGTATTTTGTGACTGACAAGCACCATGTGAAACTTGAAGTGTGAATTTTCATCATTTTCAAGGGAAAACTCGTCCACAAAAGTCTTCTTAGGAGAGTTTTTAAAAGTCTAGCATCATCATAGAATGACTCAGAATTTTATGCTCTTTCTTTCTGGATAGGTGAAATTTGGCACTTCGGGGGTGGCAGATTTATGATCTCATCCGTCGGTGTCCTTTAGCACCTGAATAATTACGCATGATTCCAAAATTCAAGAAAAAGAAAAGTAGTAAACGTCTGCGCAAGGAATACTGTTTAGAAGAGACTCGTGCATAGTTTGCAAATATCAAACCTTTGATTTCTACAATAATCGATAGTGATCAACTGGAAAAATTATGGACAACATTCATCTATTCTATCTTATATTTTTCGTAACTTGACAATAAAGATTGAAAAACGTTCAATAACTACAAAGATCATTGTCAGATTTTGAGTTTGTCCTCAATGTTTGCTGTTATGCATCTGACGAACGGAAGATAAGACATCAGCGAGTACACAACAGAATTTCTGCAATGTGTCAATCTAAGTTTATTTACTAATTAAACACAAAAACCATAAAACTGTCATGAATCAAGAATAGCTGTTATTAAAAGTAATAAAACAGCCATTTAGAAATCATCACACAGAAATTAAATAAAAAAAATCATTTCTAATGTGTTATGAATTACTATTATTATTAATATTGATCCATTGCTTTATTTCCAGAGTAGATGAAATGATTGAATTTGTCAATATTTCTCAAGTGCAACTGCTGATGTTGATGTTATTCCTTCAGTTTTTTGTTTTAATTGCCATGCTCGAATCTCTTCTATTGGTCGAGCACATATTTCTCGTTTATCAGCTGCTGGAAATTTTAGATTTGCTAATTTTTGTAATCTTAAAACTTGTACTTGTCGTTGAATTTCTTTATTTTTTGGAATATCATTTGATATTAATGCAAGTAAATCATCTAATATTTGTTGTAATTTATGTCGTTGTTTTGCTTTAGTTGTACAACCACACCAAGGAAAAGAACTCCAAAATTTACTATCAATATATTCATATAATGATTGAATTAATAAGTAGAACCAATCATTCTTATGTATGACACGAACATCGCCATGATTATTTTCTTTTTTAATTACATTAGCAATTTGATTTACTAATCGTTGTGATGACTGAAATTCTAGAGATTGACGATCATATTCACGTTCAATAATTGACATAGCAAGACTAGTTAAAATTTGATTAAAATTTAGTATTTGTGAACCTGTTGTAAAGATATAATTTGCTAATTCACGTCTTTCACTGATTATCATATGAGATTTTTCAAATCCTTGATAGAATAAAATAGCACATAACAATCGACCAAATTGTGAACTTAAATCAATTTCCTTTTGAATAATATCTTGAGAAGAGTTAACATCACTCTGTTGACCTTGTAATATGGACGGTAATTTGGAACTGGTCAAGAGAGGATTATTACTAGGAGTCATAATTACTCGATTACCAACTTGGAAATCCAATGTAGATTTATATACATATTTAGCACCATAAACAACGGTCATACAACCGACCATTTCTCTTATGGACATTGCCGTCTGTATTCTCTTAATTACCATAAACGTCTAAAATGATTCGTAATAACTTCACTGTTGTTTACTTGCTATTGATTTCTTTTTTTGAGTAAAAAAAATGACATTTACCGAGGTATTTCTTGCATCAGCTACCACCGG